TTTTTTTATGCCTTTATATTACTATTTTTATGTAGTGCCGAGGATTGAACCCAGTGCCTTGCACATGCTAGTGGTAGCACTTGCTCTACCACTGAGCCACAACCCCAGCCCAYTAAGGGCGATTTTATCATTAAGCTACATCCCCAGTTATTTTTGTTTTTTCCACATTTTTAATTTGTATATTATAGTTGTACATATTGGTGGGATTTATTAGTACATAATTGTACATGCACACAATATAACAACATAATTTGGCCAATATTACTCTCTAGCATTTGCCTTCTCCCTCTCTACCTTCCATCCCCTGTTCCCTTTCCTTTACTTATCACCCTTTGATTCCCCCCATTTCCTTTTTCTCTCTTTCATATATGACCCTTGATCTTCATGTTTGACTTATTTTGCTTAACGTAATGTTCTCAAGTTCCGTCTATTTTCCTACAAATGACATAATTTCATTTTTCTTTAAGGCTGAATAAAACTCCATTGTGTGTATATATACCATGTTTTCTTTATCTATTCATTCATTGATGGATGCCTAGGCTGGTTCCATAGTTTGGCTGTTGTGAACTGTGCTACTATAAACATGGGTGTACATGTATCACTGTAGTATGATGACTTTAATTCTTTAGAATAAATACTGAGGAGTGTTATAGCTGGGTCATATGGTAGTTCCCTGTCTACTCTTTTGAGGAGCCTCCATGCTGATTTCCACAGTGGTTGTACTAATTTATAATCGCACCAACAGTGTAAAAATGTTCATTTTCCTCCACATACTTGCCAACATTTATTATTTTTTCCACTTTTTTTATTGATGCATTATAGTTGTACATAATGATGACATTTGTTGTTACCTGTTCATACACACACACAGTATAACAGTATAATTTGATCAGTATCACACTCCTCAGCACTTCCCTCTTCCCTCTCTGCCTCCCACCCCCGGTCACTTCCAGCATTTATTATTTATTGTATTTATTGTATTCTTGAGAACTACCATTCTGACTGGAGTGCAATGAAATCTCAGTGTAGTTTTGATTTGCATTTCCCTAATTGCTAATGATGTTGAACCTTTTWAAAATATATTTGTTGGCCATTTGTGTTTATTCTTTTGAAAAGTGTCTGTTTAATTCATTCACCCATTTATTAAAATTGTTTTTTTTTGTCATTAAGTTTTTTGAGTTTTTTTTTTAATATATTCTAGATGTTACTCCTCAGTCAAAAGAGTAGCTAGCAAAATTTTTCTCTCATTCTGTGGGTTCTTTACATTCTTAATTGTTTCCTTTGCTATGCGGAAGCTTTTTAATTTGATGCTGTCACATTTATTAGCTCTTGGTATTATTTCCTGAGCTTTAGGGGTCCTATCGGGAAAGTCATTGCCTAAAACCAATTTGTTGGAGTGTTGATCCTACATTTTCATCTAGGAGTTGCATAGTTTCTGGTCTAATTCTGAGGTCTTAGATCCATTTTGAGTTGATTTTTGTGCAGGGTGAGAGATAAGGGTCTAGTCTCATTCTTCTACATATGGATAACCATTTTTCCCAGTACTATTTGTTTAAAAGGCTGTCATTTCTCCAATATATATATATATATTTTTGACAACTGTTGTTAATGATCAGATGACCATATATGTGTGGGTTTGTCTCTATGTCTTCTATTTTATACCATCAGTATGTATGTCTGTTTTTCTGCCAATACCATGACATTTTTGTTACTACAGCTCTGTAGTATAATTTGAAGTCAGGCATTGGGATGCCTCCAGCGTTGCTTTTTGGTTAGAATTGCTTAGGACTTTTTTTTTTTTTTAATATTTTTAGTTGTAGATGGACACAATACCTTTATTTTATTTATTTATTTTTATTGGTGCTGAGGATCGAATCCAGTGCCTCCCATGTGCTAGGCAAGCGCTCTACAACTGAGTTATAACCCCAGCCCAGGACTGTTTTTTCCTAGTTCTGTGAAGAATGTCATTGGTATTCTCACRACGACTGCATCAGATCTGTATACTGCTTTTGTTAGTATGGCCACTTTAACAATATTAATTCTGCCTATCCATCTTAGGTTTTTAAAAATATTCTATAATTTTCATTGTAGAGGTCTTTCACCTCCTTGGTCAAATTTATTCCTCTGCATTTTATTTTTTTGAAGCTATTGTGAATGCAGTTGTCTCCCTGATTTCTTTCTCAGCACATTTACTACTGCTATATAGGAAAGCTATTGATTTTTGTATGTTGATTTTGATTTTGTAATCTGTTACTTTGCTGAATTTGTTTATTAGCTCTAAAAGTCTTTTGGTGTAGTTTTTGGGTCTTCTAAGTATAGGATCATGTCATCATATTATCAGGCAAGAGAAAGAAATTGCATTAGGGATATTGGTCTGTATTTTTCTTTTTTAAAAAATAATACTTTATTTTTATTTTAATTTTTTCCTATATATTTATTTATTTATTTTTATGTGGTGCAAGCCAGGCGCTCTACCACTGAGCTGTAGCCCCAACCCCCTCCTTATCTGGTTTTGATATGAGTGTGATACTGACTTCATAGGATGGATTTGGAAGTGTTCCATCCCTTTGTGTTTCATAGTTTTTAAAACATTTTTATTTGAGGCAAAATTTTTATTTTGACTGAAGGCCTTGCTAAATCTGTGGTTGCTGGGATTACAGGTGTGGGCCATTGTTCCTGGCTTGGTCAAAATTCTTTTTTATTCTCTACTCAGTGTTTATTTTCATAGAAATATTAATACATTTTGTCACCTTGGTGTAGTTTTATTGGATGAAGAGAAAATGAATGCTTGTGTTCCTTTTGCCATTTTACACTTTTATTTATTTAATTATTTTTTATTGTGCTAAAAATTGAACCCTAGGGCTCATGTATGCTAGACACCCACTCTCCCACTGAGCTGCACCCCAGTCTGGCTGTTGTTTTTAAATTGGATTTTCTCTTCTTCCTTTGAGGCCCAAAGAACTTAATTTTATTGTTATAATTGAAGTGACAAATTTAATATATAAATTTAAAATTGATTAGTTTGAAGAGAATATTGAATAAATGTTGATTCAACCTATCTTTTTAATTCTATGTTAATACTCMAAAAGATGGTAATAATCAATTCTTCAAATTTTATTTGTAGAAGAAATTGAAGAAGAATCTGAAACAACAGTTGAGGCAGACTTGACTGATAAACAGAAACATCAGTTGAAACATAGGGAACTCTTTTTGTCACGCCAATATGAATCTCTGCCTGCAACACATATCAGGTAAGAACTTTTTAGAAGTTAATCTAATGTACCCAGTAACATTGTGACCAAAATCAAAGACTTCTTTGAAGCATTTTCCAGACTCTCCTCAGGATCTTGCTTAACTTAGTTTACTAAAGGCTTCATAATGGAATTTTATCTTGAAATTAAAAGTGTATATTAGCATATTAAAGTTCTGCAGTAATGTAACCATTTAAACTTTATTTCATTTCTGACTTTGACAGTTTACTTAAGCATCTGTGACTCTCAGGCATAGTAGTGTCCAACACACACCATTTTGGGAAATGCAGATCTTTTCCAGAGTCCTAACAAAGTATATGCGTAGTAATTAGAACCCAAAGGCTGGAACCCAAGATTGAGTTGTAGCAGGTGACTCTTGGCCTTTAGGATRTACGGCTTTTTACTTTCTTTTGAGGACCTCTGGAATGAAAATGTTATTATTATTTTTTTTATTAACTCTTTTATTGGCATTTGCTCTGTGCATTGATAGGCTACAAAAGTGATGAAAATCTCAGTCTGTAGTTTATAGTTTAAAGATTGTGCTGGAATAGTGATGGACTTTCATGATCTACTTCTGGTGTCAAAATTTAAGCATAGAGAGTTATTTTTCAGTGCAATCTGGAATAAGTGCATCTTGGAGATATAACAAAATGTTTGAACTCAAAAGGCAGGAAGATTTGACCCTCAGGGTCAGGAAAGCTTCAGGTAGAGTGTTTACTCACCTTTCATGAGAACGTGGGACGCACATCAGGTAGAGGGAAGAGGTGAGTGTGGGATGTGTGTGTAGAGAACAGCCAGGTTCAGGGTGAAACATGGGAGGGAATGTCATGTTTCAAGTAGGTTAAAAAAATTCCKTCAGGGGCTGGAGTTGTAGCTCAGTGGTAGAGTGCTCACCTAGCACATGTGAGGCACTGAGTTCTGTCCTCAACGCCACATAAAAATGAAATAAAGATATTGTGTGTCCACCTACAACTAAGAAAATAAATATTAAAAAAGATAAAAATGTTCCTGCAAAAACATATATTTAAAAATAAATTCCTTCAGGCAGTCATGGTGGCACATGCTGTAATCCCAGTAATTCTGGAGGCTGAGGCAGGAGGATCACAACTTCGATGCCAGCCTCAGCAACTTAGTGAAGTCCTAGCATCTTAGACCCTGTGACAAAAGAAAAAAGAAAAAAGGGCTAGGAATGTACCTAAGTTGTAAAATTCTCCTGGGTTTAATCCTCAGTACTAGGGAGAAAAAAAAAAATCCTTCCAATTTAGTTTATAGTTTCTTATCCTTTTTTCCAGCTATAGCTGGTCATGATGATCATAAAAAGTGTTCATAAATGAAAAGAAAATGTACCAGTTATTTTAATAATTGTTCCTCCTTCTTTACTCCTATTGTTGGAATTTAACCTAAGTCTGCAGTTTGGTTTCAGACAGGCTTGCAGTCTTTTTCTTTCTTTTTTTTTTAAATATCTTTTTAGTTGTAGATGGATACAATATCTTTATTTATTTTTATGTGGTGCTGAGGATGGAACCCAGTGCCTTACACACGCTTGAGGCAGGTGTTCTACCACTGAGCTATGGCTCCAGACCAGGTTTGCAGTCTTCTAAAGCCATAATTTGGTTTTGTACCTACACACACACACACACACACACACACACACACACACCCCAACCAAACTCCAGACACCTTCGCATATAACTTTCTTTCTTTTTTGTTTTTTAAAGAGAGAGAGTGGGTGGGGGGAGAGAGAGAGAGAGAGAGAGAGAGAATTTTTTAATATTTATTTTTTTAGTTATTGGCAGACACAACATCTTAGCATGTGGTGCTGAGGATCAAACCCGGGCCGCATGCATGCCAGGCGAGCGCGCTACCGCTTGAGCCACATCCCCAGCCCCTGCATATAACTTTCTTTAGAAGTGGACACGTATCTTTCATAATAGGAAGGGTAGGACAAATATATTGTTCTTCCTTTTTCTTAAATTTTTTAAAAATATTTTTTGTAGTTRTTGATAGATCCTTATTTTATTTATTTACATGCAGTGCTGAGAATCGAACCCAGTACCTCACACRTGCCACACAAGTGCCCTACTGCTGAGCCCCAGCCCCCTTTTTTCTGAAATCTTTTCGGAAATAAATTGATTGCTCTCTTATCATGAACATCATGTCGTGGCTTTATTTAGATTTTTTTAAAGGGGCCATTGTGGTTGGATTGGCTAGAGTTAGTATTTTCTGTGTCATTTATATCCTTTCCTGGAAAATATAATCATACCAGGTAATGTGAGGAGTCTTTTTGCTTTTCACTAGTAAGTTTTATTTTTTTATTTTTTCATTTTTTGGTAYRGGGGATTGAACTCTGGGGTACTCTACCACTGAGTCACACCCYCAGCTCTATTTTGTTTTTTATTTAGAAACAGGGTCTTACTGAGTTGCTTAGCCCCTAGCTGTTGCTGAGGCTGGCTTTGAACTTGTGGTCCTCCTACTTCATTCTCCCCAACCACTAGGATTAATTGTAGACATGCACCACTGTGACCGGCTTGAGATTTTTCTTAAAAATGTGTATAAGTAATATGCTAAAGATCCACATATATTTGTTACTTAATTGGTGTGAGCTATTTGAACATAAAGATTCATTTTAATCTTGAACTTATGTGGCTAATTGTAAGAATCTTGCTAGAACAACAATCTGACAAATGGTTTAAAGAATGTATCCCAAACACAMAAGTGTATTTTTAATTTACCCTTCTGATAGCTTGGAATCTGTTTACAAGTAATGTTGGTTTCCTTTAACAGATTGCCTGGAATGGAAAAACTAGTGATGTGTTTTTTATCTTCCATAAGGGCTGGGAGAATATATTGAAATATAATTATCCAGACATTCCGGTGTGGAATATAGAATTTACCTGGTATACATGATCCTTCAATCAGTTCTTTTTGTTTCTTCATCTTTTGTGGTGCTGGGGATCAACCCAGGACCTCACTCATGCTAGGCAATTGCTATACCACTGAGCTATATCCCTAGTCCTCTTGAGTCGCTATTGAACACATTTCCTGAGAATCTTTTAGGTTGAGGAGCTTCTAAATGCTTAAAAGGTAAGGACCCGGGGCTGTAGATTCATGGAGTTTTCCAAGTGATAATTCCTTTTTTCCTACAGCTGAGTGGAGAGGGAGTGGTACAGAGCTGCACCTTTTCATCTGTCGCTCTCATTTTCTTTCTTTTTTTTTCAGTCAAGTACTCATTTATTTTATTTAATTTTTTTTTTTTTAAGAAATTTTTTTAGTATTTATTCTTTAGATTTTGGCGGACACAACATCTTTGTTTGTATGTGGTGCTGAGGAYTGAACCCGGGTCGCACGCATGCCAGGCAAGTGCGCTACCACTTGAGCCACATCCCCAGCCCCCTCATTTATTTTATGAAAGAATATTGTTTTCTGCATAATTCTTTTTTTTTTTTTGTGGTGCTGGGGATTGAACGCAGGGCTTTGTGCATGTGAGGCAAGCACTCTACCATCTGCATAATTTAAAAAAAACTTTTAAAGGTGAAAGTATGTTTTTAAGTTTGTTTTGTTATAAATTTGTTATACATGACAGTAGAATGCACTTTGATACCTCATACATAGATGAAGTATAATTTCTCATTCTTCTGGKTGTACCTGATGTGGAATCCTACTGGTCTCATAGTTATATATGTACATAGGAACTCTATTCTTCCCTAGCCACACCCCCAGCCTTGTGAATTAGCATATGCATATCCAGAGACAACTGTGGCTCTCATTTTCAGACAACAGAATGGAGTAGGGGCAGGCTCTGGCCAAGGCATTGGGCTGTACTAGCCAGCCCACATGCAGATGCAGAACAAGTGTACATTGGGGTGGTCTTGATAATTTGCTAATGTTGAAGTCATGCCCTATTTTGGTTTTAAAAGGAGAAAATTACTGAAGTCCCATTGTTCTTTGGCAGCAAAGAGGGGTAATTTGGTGAATACTGATTTTTTGTTCTCAGGGACATTATCAAGTGCCTAGAATTTTCTTGGTGCCACATGGAACGTAGGAGAGAGAAAACCTGACAGGCATGCTTGAGGTCTTTTGTACTCCATGAACTATAATATTCAGTGGATGCTGCACTCTTCCTAATATGGCAGGAAGCAAGCTTTGTTCCTTCTGATTCCACTGGAAATTCGAGAGAATGTGTAAGACCTAGGTCTCTTCTGGGTAGAGTTAGTGATTCATTTCATTCCTGTCTATGAGATTGTGCTTTAGCAGTGAGAATTCCTTTAAGGGCATTTTTTGGGGTTGGGAAGTACACTTCATTCATGCAAGTGCTTTAGGTCACGTAGTAATAGATAATATGCTGTACATTTTGTAAAGCTCTGTAAAATGTATTGTTATACCTGTTATCAATCTCTTTTTCTGTGTTTAGTCTTTGTRTTTGGGGGTGTACGACTAATACTTTACTATTAGACTTTCTTACACAGAGCAACAATTCAGTGTTCTTTCATTTACCATCTGATTTACAAATATACCTGTATTCTTTATTCTTCCATAAGTAGGTGAATATTTGTAAATTTGAGGAAGGCTGCTTACAGTCGGAGAAAGTTGATGTGCTGATTATTTAGCAGCTGCTTCCTTTCCTGTTTCTCAACATTGTCTGATTTGTGATTTTGAGGCTCCTATATTTAGTCTTGTATATAGCCCAAGCTTTATATAGCTCATATGTATTGAATTTGGCCTTAAATAATTGTAGCATTTATTGAACATTTATTTTTCTTTTTTGTGGTACCAGAGATTGAACCCAAGGCCTTGCATGTGCTAGGCGAGCCTGAGCTACATCTTCAGTCCTTTTTGTTTTTTTATTTTGTACAGGGCCTTGCTAAATTCCTAGGTAATTTACCTTGCCTCCTGCCTCAGCCTCTGGATTAGCCAAAAATACAGCTGTGTGCCACCATGCCTGGCTCAGGCTCATCTATGGAATTTTTTATGATAAAATGGTGCCGGTTGCTTTGAGCCAC